GCGCCACCGCGCTTCCCAAGCGGCGCACTATCCAGTGCGCCACCGGGCCGGCCCATATTCACCTATTTAATACTAGGCATTTCCATTTGATTAGCTTATAATTATAGAGAGGAGGAAAGTCAGACAATTGTCTTATGTAATTCTACCAGCATGTGAAACATCTATGAGGATGAAACTTTTTTTGGAAGACAGCTTTTTATTTATCGATATTTCATTTGCCATTATTATTAGACATCACTTTCAAATAAATAAATACTGTCCACCTTTCAGCATCAACATTTAGATGAAGAAATTGAGGTCCCAGGGTTAGAATTAAATAGTTTTGCCCAAGGTCACCAGCGGAAATCAAAGTAGAACTTTTCTGCCTTTCCAGAAACCTTTTTTATTTTCTGAGGCCACCAAAACTGCCTCTCTGCTTCCTTATTAGAGGCTCTGACTTGTCTCTGTGCTCTCCCCCAAGATCTTTCATCAGATACACCCAAGAGGTCCCTATTGCCATCTACACACCTTTGAAAATGTCATTGCCCTGCCCAAAAGTATGCAGTGGCTTCCTACTCCTGCCAGTGAATAAAGGCTGAGCTCACAGAGCTGGAGGATCTAAAGCAAAGGGTCTGTAAACACTTGCCCCATCCTGTCTTTGCAGTCTTTTTCCAGCCTTCTACCTTTGTTGAGTTCTTCACATCATACAAATTTGCTGAGTGTTTCTAAAATGAACTCCACTCTGGTTCTGGCCATTCTATCCAAATCCTACTTGCTCCTCAATACCAAACACAAATGCTTCCCTTCATCCTCACTGTTTTCCCAACCACTCCAGCTTAAGTGGTTTCTCCCTTCTGTGATTTATGAGAGAAATCACTAACTATGGAATTAATATGTCAATAATGACACAGTATCTTTTCTTCATAATGGTGATTGTTTTTTAATTACTGAAGTGATGTGTTTTTTCTTCCCATTTGATTGTAAACTACCTAAGAACAGAAGGTACCACCTGTATCTCTCTGTATCTACTGTAGACCTAAAAAATAGTAATTATCATTATTATCATTTATCTTTATAATAATTTTATGCCATACATAGAAAACCATCATCAGTAGCTTTTTTGGCTTACCTAATTTGTAGTTATACTCACACACAGCATTTCTTTTTTTCCTTCCTTATTCCAATTTGCATTTTTAAATTGTTTTTCTCTCAAGTGTGTAGATTTTTATGTACAGATTTCAGGAACAAATACTTTTGTATTCACAGGTCAGCCTCCAAAACATAAAGGAAAACAAAAATCTCGAAACAATGAATCAGAGAAGTTCAGGTATGTTTTTTTCCTAAGATACATATTTTTTCTCCTAATGTACTCTTCTCTCCAAAAAGGAAAAAAAATCTCTTTTTCAAGTATTAGCTGCTTTTATGCATATGTATTATAATGAGTACTAAATCACTTTCTTTTTTTTCTTTTTTCCTTTTTGTCTTTTTTACTGGCCGGTAACGGGATCGCAACCCTCGGTGTTGCACCCGTACCGGGGACCGGCAACGGAATTGCAACCCTCGGTGTCGCGTCTGCACCGCGCTCAGCCAGTGAGCGGGAACCGGTCTCCACATGGGATCCGAACCCTCGGCGGGAGTGCCGCTGCACTCCCAAGCGGCGCACTCTCCAGTGCGCCACTGGGCCGGCCCCTAAATCACTTTCAAATATCAAAAGACAGGATTGTTTTTGGCTAAAGGATTATTAATCCTGGATATTAACACTGATTTCTGACAGTCATATAACATGAAATATATCAGTGTTAATTTTTTTCAATTCCAAAATATGTGCACCTAAGGAAGAAATATTCAGAGACCTATAAGGTGAAAATTAAGTGTGCTTCCATGCTTACCTCATTTTACCTCTCCTGCAGTCCCTTCTCTACAGCTTCTTCTAGGGATGCACTCTTAAGTTTCTTGGATTTTGGGAAAATTACTCTGCATACACAGCCATGGGTATGTGTATATTCAGATGCTCTTTTGAGTAATTATCATTAAAGGAAAATATTTACTAATGAACTCTAACTGCTTATAAAATTAGTTCTACCAAATATCCCTGCCAAAATTAACAGTAGGAACTCTTGCCACCTATCTTTATACTTAATCCCCCATTGCCTACAAAGATATAAGTTGATTGCAAAGTGAAGTTGTAAATTTTTTCAAAAAATGACCATATTTTTGATGCTGTTACAAAAATTAAATACAGAGCAAGGACATAGTATATTATGTTATTCTATTATTTGGAGGAAAAATCCTGAATCTTCCTTCCTGCACCTTCCACGCTTCAAGAGAAACCAAAACCTAATACATGATCTCTTTTATTTTTTTTCTTAATGCAAAGTTGCAATTTTTTTGTTTGTTTTTGTCTTGTTTTTGGGGGGGCAGCTGGCTGGTAAGGGGAAGCAAACCCTTGACCTTGGTGTTAGAAGGCTGTGCTCTAACCAATTGAGCTAATGGACAGCCTACATAGTTGTCATTTTAACCTGTTTTATTAAAGATAAATTTATTTTCCTGATATTTTGTTTTTTTTCAAACCGAATTCTCTTCATTTGATAATATCTACCTCATGGGGTTATTTCATGATTAAATGGGATGTCCACATAAAACACTTTGAGCCCTGGAACATAGTAAATGCTCAGTATATTACAACTAGTATTATTATTATCACCACCAACATCATTTTCATTTTATTAGAACCATTCTGGCTTACAGCTTGCTTTTCTATCTGTTACAAAATATCTTTTATATCATCCCATATCAGACCATAAAGATCCACTTTTTTCATTTTCATAGCTGTAGAATTTTTCACAGTATGGATGTATCCCCCATTGTTGTATATTTAGACTCTTTATTTCTCTTTTCCTCCTTCCTGTTTTTCCCTTCTCTCCATCCCTCTTGTTCTTTCTTCTTTCTTTCCTTTGAAGGGGATAAGTAAGACAATACTTTAGTAAACATCCTTGCACGTGTACCTTTGTGCACTTGTTAATGTGTATTTGAAGAAGAAGTTTCTAGGGTGGAATTAGTGTGTCAAAGGGGATTGTGTAATTTTAACTTTCATAGATATTGCCAAGTTATCCTCCCAGAATATGGGCACTATTCACACTCCTGCTACATTATGAGAGGGTGTGGTATAGTAAAAATATGTATATTTGGTCTTTGTGCCAGTTTCTGGCACAGAGTTCCTAAAACCCTTGGAATTTCCTGAATGATAAGAGTGTCTTTCATTGTTCATAATGAACCACTTTCCACCACACCTGAGTTTATAATAATGAGGTGACTGAAGGCAGTGCTCCAAGATAGCTTCACGATGGGGTTTGGTCACCAGAAAGACCAGCCACCTGATTAAAGGGTTGGGTCTTTCAGCCCTGCACCTGACCTCCAATGGGAGCGCGGGTGGTAAAAATTGAGTTTAATCACCAATGGCCAGTGATTTCATCAATCACACCTACATGTCTACATAATGAAACCTCGATAAACCCCTGAAAAGGGGGACTCGGGAGCTTCTGGGTTGGTGAACACATGGATGTGCTGGGAGGGTGGCATGCCTGAAGAGAGCGGGAATGCGCCTTGTGCCCCCCAACCATCCTGTGCATCTCATCCATTCGACTGTTCCTGAGTTGTATCCTTTATAATAAATTGATAATAAGTAAAGTGCTTTCCTGAGCTCTATGTGTTGTTCTAGTGAATTATTGAACCTAAAGAGAGAATCATAGGAACCCCCTTCGAGTTTGTAGTTGGTGGGGCAGAAGTGTGGGTACCCTGGGCACCCCACTTGTGGCTGGCAGTCTTATTGGACCAATCCTTTAACCTGTGGGGTCTGCGCTAACTCTGGGAGTTAGTGTTAAAACTGAGTTGAATTGTTGGTTACTCAGTTGATGTTGGAGAGTTGAATTGGTGTGAGAAAATGACAAGAATTCGATGTCGGAAAAAACCCATACATTTGATGTCAGAAGTGCTGTCAGAAAACACCAAATAGAGTGCCTTAATCTTCCTTTCCCTCACTGGCATTGGGAGTTAGGTTTTCTGAAGTTATTATATCTTATTAGATTTTCCCATGAGATTGAGCATCTTTGCAGTGTTTATCAGGAACATTTTTTGTTTGGGGACCATGTTGTTACTAATGACTGCAAATTTGTAATAACTTTTGATGACCAGCACAAATCACCCCTAATATTTCTTTCTTTCTTTTTTTTTACTTTTTTCAAAAACTGTTCTTTCATTGTTATAATCAACTTATCTGGTCCCCATCTACCTCTAATTTAACAGGAACTTTTATTGAGATTACGTTGGATTTAGAGATTAATTTGGGGGGAATCAGCATCTTGATAATATCTCTGTTCAGGAATTTGTGTGGCTCCATTTATTTAGTGTTTTAAATGACCATCAGAAATATATATTTTTCTTTATATAAGTAGGACTGATATATTTTTAAATGATTCAAAACAAGTGTTTTTCTCTTTTAGTTCTAGTTCTCAATTGACTTTACCAGTAGATTTGAAAAACATCTTGGAGAAACAGTTTTCTAAATCTTCCAGAGCTGCACACCAGGTAATGGAGAAGATCTTTCCAATGAAAAACACAAACTCTTTGAACAAAATATTTTTCACATGAACAAAGTTCTAGTCATGAATGCCCCTAAGATTTGTTTTTTTATAATTTTAGTTGTAGGTATATAATTTAACATATGATTGCTAACAAACCAAATTATCAGTGATTTAAATGTTAACTTGATAATTATGTTAGCAAGAGGTTTAACTAATGGTTAACACTACAGAATTGTTTGCTTCCCAAAGACATAACAGTAATATTAACTTCAAATATTTTAAAAAGATTTAAATAACTTAAAGATTTAAATACTTGCAGTTTTATACCTACTCAAAAACCATTAAAGAGCAAACTTTTTTATTCTTTGAATGATGTAACATTAATCAGATAACTTTGTATATGAAGTTCTTATGTTATTTAGTGATGAAAAATGTATATTACATGGAACAAGAAGAATACTTGTTTCAAAATATGTGGGTCATTTTAAAATTCAGTTAATTATTTTAGGTATACATAATAGATACCTTACAAAGGACTGAAATACATTTTTAATCATTTGCCTAAAAGCATTTTTAGAATTTCTGACAGTTGGAGATTTTTAAATTGTCTTCCTACACTGATTTTACTTAATGTAAAAATCATGAGGGACCTAAATAAAAAAGACAGCCTACGGAGATAAAAAGATTAAATAAATATGATAGTTATTTTTGAGCCTTCATTTGTTCATTCAGTACTTTTTTATTGAGACCTTTACATATGCTGAAGACAGACTGAGTATACAGTGATGTGGTTCAGCCTGCTCTGGTGGAGCTTTCACTACAAATCATTAATATACTATATTGAGGGAAATAATTTCTGATGAAAACCTGAGGCTGTACAGACCTGTGTTCTAGAATGAGAAAGAGATTAAATTCTAATTAGTTCATGCAAGGCTAATAACTAGTATTTGTGGAGATAGCACATCATCTTCTCTAACTTCAAATTCACATCTTAGGCCCGGTGGCGCACTGGAGAGTGTGCCGCTTGGGAGCGCGGCAGCGCTCCCGCCGAGGGTTCGGATCCCATGTGGAGACCGGTTCCCGCTCACTGGCTGAGTGCGGTGCGGGTGCAACACCTAGGGTTGCGATCCCGTTGCCGGTCCCCGGTACGACTGGCTGAGTGCGGTGCGGGTGCAACACCTAGGGTTGCGATCCCGTTGCCGGTCCCCGGTACAAGCACGACACCGAGGGTTGTGATCCCGTTACCGGTCAGTAAAAAAGACAAAAAGAAGAAAAAAAAAAGAAACATGGCTGTCATTGAGTTTTTTAAGTACCATAACAAATGCCAAGTTTATGTAAGAGCTGTCTTTTTCCCTGTGTAATCTGGGGAAAAGTTCTCTTAAACTTTGATTCATTGGATGGAAACCAGCTTGAAGCTTTTGCTAATGTGTGAGCAAAGTGCTTATCCCTTTGTGCTTTGTTCAGTGGGATCTCCTTTTGGATTTTTATTGTTAAGAGCAGTGAGTAATATAACACATATCTGCATTTTTTGCTCCATTGAATGGTGTGCATATGTGTGGCAAGAAGTGAGAAGATTTTAGGCTTAACATATAGTCTTGCCTCTCCAGTTATTATGGAACTTTTGTGACTTATAGCTTTTGCCATGTAACTAAAATCTGAATTCAAATTATAATGTATATGCACAATTTATTCAAATTACAAAGTTTTTCTCTATTTAAGGGTACATTACAGCAATTTTGTTTTTGTTTTTTGTTTTTTATTTTCTTCCTTTAACCTATTTATATCTCTCCCAGTAATTTTATCTAGTTATGTTTAAGTACATGTTAGGCAGGAGTAGAATTAAAGATTGAAATATTCATTTCTTGCATAGAATTAAAGTTTGTTTCAGGGAAAGGATGACAGTTGTCAAAATCTGGTAGTGATCAGTACATTGATTGCATATTCTTATGGGTCTAATTGTTCTAGTCCCAGCCAAACTATTTAAATAATGGCTGGTGTCCTCCATATATGTTGTTAAAATTTCAAAATACTGTCTGTTTAGTCTGGAAAAGTAAGCAAGGCTTACCACCATGTAACGTAAAATGAACCACTCTTTCTTGTCATGGGCAGTGGCATGGGTGTTAGAATTAAGATGGTGAAGCATTACCTTTTAATTTTCACTTTAAAGGTACAGTTCTGGGAAAGGAATATAATAATGGGTAGTTTGGGCATTATTTTAAATATTTTATTATTAGTTATAAAATATTACTGATGAACTTGCCATCTTAAGTTTTAAAATAAAAATGTTTAGATTTGGATTACCGAAATAGAAATTCTTTTTCGTAGGATTTTGCTAATATAATGAAAATGCTGAGAAGCTTAATTCAAGATGGTTACACAGCCTTGTTGGAGCAGCGTTGCCGCAGTGCAGCACAGGCCTTTACAGAGTTGCTGAATGGTTTAGATCCTCAAAAAATAAAGGTAAAATTGCTGTATTATAATGTGCTTATCAATGCTAATGTACCTCAGATATATGTAGAAGAGAATCAAGGCTTTAACTCATATTCATATACTTTACTCCTTGCTGAGATTGGCTGAAGCTACTCTAGGTTGTGGGACGCAGGTGATGCTCCAGGTCAGACTTCATGGTTACACTTGTATGTGATCTATGTTTATACCATCCTTGACTGTAGTTAGGGTACATTAGAACTCCTGGCCTTTTCTCTTATTAAAGTACTAAATCGAGGATTTGGATTAACTGTCATCCAGAATGAAAGTATTAGCTAGGTAAATAAATAGGCAAGGTTATGAGAGAGCAGATGTCTTACTCTGTCACTAGTACTCACTTATATGCCAAAGAAATGACTTGAATTAAAAATTAATCTATTATGAACCATGCCTCAAGGAATTCTGAGACAATAATTCTGTATTTTAAATACTTGATAGCAGTATAATTGCCTATGTGTGCAACATGTATTTTCTAATTCTGTCTGACCTTTAACCCAATTGTATTTATTAGTGAGATTTTATTACTCTTTTTCTGTTATGGCTAGAAGTATGGTTTTTCTGTTGTATAATGCAAATTGGGCAGAATTATGTTCAGATTTTTAACTAAAACATTTTTATTGACAGCAATTGAACTTGGCCATGATTAACTATGTCTTAGTAGTCTACGGACTTGCCATTTCTCTTCTTGGAATAGGACAGCCTGAGGTAAGACTTATAACAGAGGTAATAATTAAAATATGACATACATATATCTTATTTTCCCATTTTGGCTCATTTCCTTCTGTGTACTCTGTTGATAATTTTGTCTGAAATGTCTCAGTTTAATTTAGCTTGTGTTTTTTTAAAAGAAATTTTTAGTTTGTGTTCCTATTAGAAAAAGGCTATGCCAGGCAACCAGTGGGAATCTACCTTTTATTTATATAAAAAGTAAAGAATCTAATATATCGTGATAGATTTCAGAAACATAATGTTGAGGAAAAAAGACAAGTTGGAGAGCAAATGTGTTCCCACTTACATACAATTTGGAAAATATACAGAGCAATACTTTTTATTGTTTATGAATATCTATGCATCTTGCAAAAGTGAAAAAAAACTACGGATTAATCCTATGTCAAATTTAAGATAATGGTTGCGTTTAGTAAGACGGAAGGAGGGAATGGGCCAGGGGAGGTTAAGAAAAAAGACTTCAACTTTGTGTTACGCTGTTTTATTAGAAAAATTGCAAGTAACAATGATAATGTTAATATCTCTTAGTTCTGGGCGGTGAGTACTTGGGTATTGATTATTTCTAGAGTATAGACATCCCATAACTGCATATGATCAATTTATAATTGTGAGCTCCTATGATTTCCGTTTTCATACTCCTTCCTTGCTCTCCTGGAATGCTTACATATCTGTGCTGCTTAGCGTTATAACTTTGCTTTCTGTGGTTTTGGGTTTTCTATAAATGTTAAAATGTTCTATGAAGACATCAAGTATATGCTTTCTACCAATGTGGACTCTAAGCTTCGCTGGCTAAATAAAGACTTAACCCTAAATTGCTGCCTAATTAGGATCTAAGTGGTTTTTTATGTTCCATTCCCTACTGGTAGTCCACAGTGCCTGAGGCTTATATTCCTTGTTCTTGATGTGACAGATGAATGTCTTTTATTAACTCCTGTCTGATTCTATTTTCCAATAGATTGTTGGAGACAAGACTTCATGTTTTAATTCTATTCTTGACAATATAATAATAAATATGTTTTGCCTTATTGGTATTGAAAAAATATTTTATTGCATTTGTGATTTACTGTAAAATAGTGAAACTGATTAAAAAAAAAACAGGCACGGTAGAAATTACACATTTAAAAGAATTTTGTCAGAGTAGGCCCTTAAGGAAGCCATGTGGAAAAAATATTTTATTGCATTTGTGATTTACTGTAAAATAGTGAAACTGATTAAAAAAAAAAAACAGGCACGGTAGAAATTACACATTTAAAAGAATTTTGTCAGAGTAGGCCCTTAAGGAAGCCATGTCGTTTTTTTTGTTTTCCTTTTTGTCTTTTTTCGTGTCCGGCAACGGATCGCAACCCTCAGTGTCACGCCTGTACCGGACCGGGACCGGCAACGGGATCACAACCCTCGGTGTTGCCCCCGCACCTCGCTCAGCCAGTGAGCGGGAACCGGTCTGTATGTGGGATCCGAACCCTTGGCGGGAGCGCCACCGCGCTCCCAAGCGGCGCACTGTAGCAGTGCGCCACCGGGCCGGCCCGGAAGCCATGTGTTTACCCCAGTACAGCCTTTTCCTCAAACATTTTTGGAATGCCTCCTTTGGAACTGGTCTCAGAGCTACTTACAAGTTCCATTTTGTAGTAACATTTCCTTTTTCACCCACAATGGGGTTACCAGTTTTCTTAGAACTAAGTATCCTTTGGATTTTTTCAAAAAACAAAATTTATTCAAAGCACAGAGGTTTCCAACTGTTGAGAATATTCAAAAGAATGTACTCGAAGCTCTGTTAAATTTTTACTAAAGGTCTGTTTTTCTTTTGTTTTTTTTTTGTCCTTTTTTGAGACCGGCCACACCGCGCTCAGCCAGTGAGCGGACCGGCCATCCCTATATAGGATCCTAACCCGCGGCAGGAGCGCCGCTGCGCTCCCAGCGCCGCACTCTCCCAGCGCCGCACTCTCCTGAGTGCACCACGGGCTCGGCCCCTAAAGGTCTGTTTTTAAGACAGAGATTTTGTCTGCCTTATGCCACAAAACGTGGCAACATCATTGGAATGACAATCCTTTCAAGCAGCACATACTAGGATACATATTATGGTATGTTTGCACCAAAATCAGTCTTTTGTACCATGAATTTACACTTTTTAGCATTAGCCAGCACATGCCAGCCCCTTTGTGTGTGCTAGTAAATGCTTCTGTGGTTGGTTGTCTGATGTGTTCAGCAGAATTATTTTGGTTGTGTGTCTGAATATCCATATGATCATTTGAATATCTGTATGATCAGAAACTTATATAATTTCTAAGAAAATGAAATGCAGAGGTATACTTTTGCCATGGGAACTTTTTGATATAAAGTTGTTTTTAATATTACACAAAAAGCGTTCTCTTTCTGTGTAAGTGATCATTGTTTTCACTGCTATTGAAGGAATTATCTGAAGCTGAAAACCAGTTTAAGAGGATTATTGAACACTACCCCAATGAGGGACTTGATTGCTTGGCCTACTGTGGAATTGGAAAAGTATATTTGAAAAAAAACAGGTTAGTAGAAACAACACTACTTTAAGCTCCAGGCTGTTGACTCATTCGAAGTCTGATGTGGTGATGATCCATTTTCTGAAATTATTTTGATATCTTCTCTGTGGCACAGTATTATAATTACAATTTACTTTGAGGACCTGATATTTCAGTATCAATACTAATTATTAAAACAAAGCCAATCAGGTAGTTCCTGGTGCTTTCTAATTTTGAATCTAATAAGAAAGTCAATGATAGAGTTAATTTGACATGAAGAATTTAATATCCTTTTAGTATGTGTCATCTCTAAATGGTGACTAAATTGATAAAAATTATTACTTTAAAAATCTGATTGTATAATTTTTTAGTTAAATATTTATTTTCCCACAAAAAAATCTGAATAAAGGTGGTTTTAATAGGCAATAGATGTTCAAAGACATCGTGAGTTAGGAATAAAAATCTCTTCTCTGAACTTCTGTTATAGTTGGAATCCTTATCCAAATTTTAATATGTAGCTGTTCTCTAAGTGTTTCATGTCTCTTAGTCTTGTCTCCCCAAATTGGCTGTATGACCCTTAGGGGACAGTATTATGTCTTGAGCTGTAAAAAAAAAATCTTTGTTCTTGCTGCTTGCACCCAGTATAATGGTAGTTATGTTAGGGTACTTTATAAAGAAGTAATTGTTGGCTGATTGAATATCATTTATAGCCTTTAATTATCCTTATATTTTCATCTGAATTTTTAGGGGAAATTTTATGAAACTCTTTGGAATCCAATCTTAGTATTCCTGGAATTTCTTTTATAAATTTTTAAAGATTAAAGAAAATTTTTGTACTTCATGAAGTTACTGGCTGGCTAGGCTGGACCGTATTAAGGATCAGGTAGATGCAGGAGAAGTGAGGATTTAGCAGTCACCTTTACAATAATAGCAGATGAAATTAATTCCAGACTTTAGTGTAAATTGTTAACGGCATACCTATTTAATGCAGTGGTCACATGCAGATATTCACAAGGCATAAGAAGATAACATAAATGTGTAAAATTATGAGGACTATGGTAAACTGAAGAATCTTTGCTGTATTTTTTTTTCTTTTTTTTTTGAATTTTTATTTTGTCAATATACAATGTAGTTGATTATTATGTCCCATCACCGAAACCTCCCTCCCTCCTCCCTCTCCTCGCTCCCACCCAAGTGTGTCCCCTCCATTTGCTTGTTGTAAGAACTTCAAAAAAAAATTGTGGTTGTTATATCTTCCTCTCCCCCGCCCCCGGGTTTTTTTGTTGTGTGTGTGTGAGAGAGAGAGAGAGAGAGAGAGAGAGAGTGTGTGTGTGTGTGTGTGTGT